GGAAACAAAACAGGAAACAAAACATCAATCAAAAAATTGCTCTCTTTTTTATTCGGGCCACTTAAATTTATTTTGGGCTACAAAAAACTGAAGAGTCTCTGCCCGAAGGGCTACCAGGGATTTTGAAATTTTGCGAGCCCTGTTTCCTGCTCTTAGCTGACAGAAGTTGCACTCGGCCTGATCTTGTGCTGCTGGAGTCCATTTGTATGTGATGCTGGACGTGTTGTTCCTTCAGAAAAGCTCTTCTGCACACCTTGGCTTGTAAAGAGTAGTTATTTCAGTTACTGTTGCTTTTCTGTCAGATGAAGCAGTCTGACTGTCCTCTGACCTCTGACATCAGAAAGGCATTTTTTGTCCAGAGAACAGCTGCTCACTGAATATCTTCTCAACAGTCATGACACTTTCAGAGTCACTTAAATCACACTTCTTCCCCTTTCTGATGCACAGTTTGAACTTCAGCACGTCGCATTGACCAATCCTAAATGCACTCAGTTGCTGCCATGTGATTGGCTGATTAGATATTTGATATTAACAAGCAGTTCAACAGTGTAACTTAGAAAGTGGCTAGAAAGTGTATTTATTTATTTATTTAAATAATTCACGGGAGTAATTATGATAACTTTTTTTTAATCAGATATTTTTTTTCTTTCCTTTTGTTTGATTTCCTAACAGATGACTCGGGCGATGACTTCCCTTCATCGTCACCACGCATCACACAAGGTGGTGGGTCACAAAATTCAGAAGTCCAGTCTGCTCTCAGAACCCTGAGCAACAAAGTGGAGGATCTGAGCACCTGCAACGATCTGATCTCAAAGCATGGCTCTGCCCTCCAGAGGTCAGACTTGAACCCATTTTGCCTTGCTCTTTGCTTTAATCTTCAGACAACAGTCTCATTTATGCCTCATGTCTCTACTAGTCTACTATGTGAGGGGTAAAAAACAGCTCTAAATTTGAAGTTATAATTCTGTAGGTTTGGTAATTCAGCGCCATATTCAGATGTTTTGTACCATTTGCAGAAGAGTCCTGTTATAAAATCATTGATGTGTAAATTGACTACATATTGTCCAAACATCCAAAGTTCATATTTTTTTCAGGTCATTAGCAGAACTGGATGGTTTACGTCTGACTGGAGAGGCTGGGGATAAGATTCGCCAGGTCACAGAAAGAGCCACTCTGTTCCGCATCACCTCTAACGCCATGATCAATGTAAGTCTGACATCCTTCTTCAGTGTGTTGACCTCTGAGTTTTTAATATATAATGTATATATACCAGAGAAGACCTTGTCTATGTATTACTGCACAGCTTTTCAATGAAACACATTGAAAAGTGTTTCAATGTTATGCTTCTCAGGCGTGCCGAGACTTCTTGACGCTGGCACAAACTCACAGCAAGCGATGGCAAAAGGCCCTGCAGGCTGAGCGTGAGCAGAGAGTGCGGCTGGAGGAGACTTTAGAGCAACTGGCCAAACAGCACAATCACCTCGAGCGAGCATTCAGAGGAGCCGCACAGGCTAATGCTAGTCCAGACAATAAAGGTAAGTTGTGATTCTGACAAGATAACAATGAAGTGTGAGTTAATGTTTTCAGAAAGTTTTTATTGTAACACCAGCACTTATTTTGTAAATCTTACTTCTGACCTCCATACAATAAGTAAAAAGAGTAAACTAACCCTGAAAATAATAAAAACTAAACTAAAACAAATTTTTCAAACAACAAAAACTAAACTGAAACATGAAAATCGATTCTGAAAACTAAATGAAATTAAACTGAATTCAAAACCAAAAGTCAAAATGAAATGAAAATAAAATACTAAACTATTATAACTCTTATCAGGTACATGTGGCGTACAACTCTTTCGAAATCAAAGATGTGGGGCCACTAACTGTTTGCATTCGACTTCGATTTCTGAACAAAACTCATTAAACCTCATTTCCCACAGAGATATTTTTCAGTGGTAATCCAAGAGCCTGTGAAAAATTTCATTGGCTTTTTATCAGGGGAACCAGGGAGATGCTAACTCCTGGGTGACCAAGATTTTCTGTGGCTGACATACGAGAGTCCTTGTGATCAAGCACTTAGCAAGAAAAATAGAATCAAGATGTGAAACTAAAAGAACATTATCAGTTTCAGTCTCATTAAACATTTTAATTACTCCGTTATTGACTAAACCCCAATTTGAAATCCACTGGCAATTATCAGGTAAATGTTAAGTCAAGTTTTACAAGTAGCAGTACCAGTGATTACCTGATTCTGATTCCATGTAACCAGATGTGAGGAATTGCAACTTCCTGGTTTGTTTGTTTGTTTGTTTTAAATGTTTGGTTTAACACTTTAAATGCTCTGAATCAGAGGTGTCGAACTCCAGGCCTTGAGGGCCGGTGTCCTGTAGGTTTTAGATATCACCCTGGGTCAACACACCTGAATCAAATGATTAGTTCATTACCAGACTTCTGGAGAACTTCAACACATGTTGAGGAGGTAATTTAGTCATTGAAATCAGCTGTGTTGGATCAAGGACACATCTAAAACCTGCAGGACACAGACCCCCGGGGCCTGGAGTTCGACACACCTGCTCTATATTACATGTTGTTTTATTGTTTTTGTGATACCTGGAGAATCATCTTTAAGTTTCTGTATAGGGAAAACTTAGATGTTTGTTTGTGTTAAGGTGCTGCTGGGCCAGGAAAAGGTGAGGCCAGTGATGAGGATGATGACAATGAGTTCTTTGATGCCATGGAAGAAGCCCCCGAGTTTATCACTGTACCTGCGGACCCCCAGTTTCACAAGTCGGTATCTTTACCCTTTACCCGTCGGTACAGATTGACAGATGGAGTTAGTTGGGGGATTTCCCCAAGACTTTGTGTGTGGCTTGTCTTTGTTTTTATATATTTAGACCACTTCCTTGTATCACATTACTGTATGTATTTATCTTAAGTCAATCAAATTGTGTAATGACAGATTGGCGTGTGTGTGTGTCAGGTCATTTTTTTAAGCCTCTCTTTCCTCATATGTCAAAATACCTGATTAACTAGTAACGTTCACGTCACTAACAGAATCTATTTGCTTTTTTTTTTTTTTAATCTCTTACAGAAGGTCAAGCAGTAATATCAGCGGCCTCAATAGTGAATTGTGTGCAGATGATCAGTCGGTAGGCCTCATTCTGTCTGAATCATTGAAATCTTATTATAATGCTGTATCCCATCTTTTAAAATAACACAGTCTGAATGAAAAGCTGCAGTAGGACAGGTGTTGTATGTATATTCTTTATACATGATTTTGTTGCTATGGTAATAAATCAAAAACATTTCCGTGTTATATTGATAAACGTTTCTGCTTCTTAGCTTAACGAGGAGCCTCTTGCGATGAACCAGGAGTCCCCCTCCCAGGAGCTGGTACCCTTAAAGAAGAGGCGGACACGCATCCCAGACAAACCAAACTACTCCCTCAACCTTTGGAGCATCATGAAAAACTGCATCGGCAAAGAGCTGTCTAAGATCCCGATGCCTGTAAGGATTTCTTGTTCTTACTGAACGTCCAGTCAGAGTTACTGAAAGCTTGTTGTTCTTCCATGTCTGCTTCGTTGTTCACCTGTTGAAGAAGACGTCTGATCAGCTTCATTTTGGACAGTCAGACTCAAAGAGTTTGCGTGTTAAAATATTTGTGTCTTACTCATAATATTCAATTAATGAAAGATTTGGGTGCCTTTTAACACCCCTCCTACCCCAAGTTAAAACCACATTGGAAATATGGTTTGTGTGCGTTTACAGTAAAAATACAAAATCTACGATAAGCTAACCGCGTCATTAAATGCCACCGCAGTGCCTCCAAAATGTCTGGCAGCAGTCAGTTCAGTGTGACAAAATTGGAGCGTAGATACTGATCCCTGTCCTTTTTTCGGTGTAAGGGTTGTCAGCATTCTGCGAGAGCTTTTGAAGATCTTTATCGGCAAATCTGCCCAGATTTTGTTTATTTGTAGACTGTAGGTCACTTGTAGGATGTGGGTCTAAAATGAGCTACCATCACGGCTTTTTATAAGAGTCCAGACAAACTGATTTGTCAGACTCATCACTGCTGAGATAAATGGTCACATGTTTGATTTGGCTTTGTTCTGTCAACTTATCACTGCCATTGTGACGCCCTGCCCCCACTCTAACAATAAAGAGTTTTGTCTCTGCCACATTACAGAGATACTTTGACACATGTCGACTTCCTGTAGCTTAGCAACACTACCCGCCAGGTCACTGCTGACCCATCTATGGTTGTGGTTTAGAAAATGGCTTGGGTCTTGCTTAAGCCAAAAGCTAAATTAGCAGATTTTCAGAAATTGGCAATACAGGTTTTCTGTTAAAAGCTTTTCTATTTGGTCTTTCCAAACAGAAGACGTTACCCAAACCATACCTGCACCTATCTAATAATCTACACATATATATACATTTACTGAAGTGACACTACATAGCAAGTGTCAGTGTGTGTGATGGGCCTCGCTCACATTGAGTGTAGCAGAGTGGAGACAGATGCATATGCTGACAACAACTCTTAAGGTCACCGAAAGCGTAATAAAAACTTTCCAAGAAGTGAAGAGGGAACACAAACCTGACCACAGTTTGTGGTTAAGTCACAAACTACTGCAGCAAGTGTGAAATGGCTCAAAAACTGCTGACTCTTTGCTATTAGCTTCCTCTGTGCTAACAAAGCTCCAGAAGGAAGCAGTGCACTGCTGCAGATGCACACAGGACAGTATAGAACCGAATTGAACAGATCAGGCTGTGGTCACTTCTACCCAGTCTAGCTTTTTGAATCAGGTTCAGACCCACATCTTAGCCATGTGTGACATTCGTTGCTGGAATTAATACATAACACAAATATAAAAGTAAATTTCAATCATTTTGCTTTCTAGGTTAATTTCAATGAGCCCATCTCCATGCTGCAGCGGTTGTCTGAGGACCTCGAGTACCACGAGTTGCTGGATAAGGCCGCAAAGTGTCAGAACTCTTTGGAGCAGATGTGCTACGTGGCCGCCTTCGCAGTGTCTGCCTACTCCACCACAGTCTACCGCACGGGAAAGCCTTTCAACCCTCTGCTGGGAGAAACGTATGAGTTGGACCGCAAGAGAGAAAGTGGCTACCGCTCCCTATGTGAGCAGGTGAGGGAGGAAAAAAAACAAGAGAATGGAAGTTTTCCAACCAAGAAGTGTAACTCAAGAGAGAGATTGAATGTCAGAAAGGAGGAATTAAAAAAATCCCACTGACTTGGCATTAGGAGAGAATCTTGCTTCCTTTTTCTGCGCAGTTGGGGTTGAACATGCTGGCAGGGAACCAGAATTACTATTATTAGTTTTTTAATATGGAGACATGAAGTGGTGACTTTTTTTTTTTTTAAATCACAAAGTGCCATATTTCTGCCCCTTCTTGTCGTAAAATACACCAACCTAAAACAATCTAAAGTCACTGGTTGATCCTGAATAGATTATTTGTAGAGGAGGAAATCAAATGGAGGTTTATTGTGTGTGTGTGTGTGTGTGTGTGTGTAATAGCTTTCATGTCACATGTCAGATTTATGAGACTAAATGTCAGTCACACCTATTAGGGATGACTCAGACTCACAAAGAATAGGACTTGATGTTTTGTTGCATCTGAAAAACATTTTCTCTTTCCAGGTGAGTCACCACCCACCTGCTGCTGCACATCATGCTATCTCTGATCGTGGCTGGACGTTGAGACAAGAAATCACAGTTGCGAGCAAGTTCAGGGGGAAATACCTCTCCATTATGCCTTTGGGTAAGAGGCAAGCTAGTTTAGAAAAGAAAGCATACCAGTCTTCCATAGTGTCGAGGACAAAAGATGTACACACAACTATCATTAGAATTTATAAGTGACTAAAGAGTGTACCAGCCCACACCTTTCTTTAGTTGAAGCATAAAACGGTAATTACTAATGAACAAAGGTTTTTCTTTGCTTTTGCTTTTGTTTTTAGTTTGTTTTATATTTCTTTTCTTTGTCACAGGCACAATTCATGCAGTCTTTGAGAAGAGCAATAATCACTACACATGGAAGAAAGTTAACACCACGGTGCACAACATCATTGTCGGAAAACTTTGGATCGATCAGGTGAGACGCTCGGACACTTCGTTGCAGGCCTGATCTGCAGAGGAGGCAGGAATGAAGAGCAAGAAAGGATTTGTTATGACGCTCCTAACAAGGAAAAATAAACATGGGTTTATCTTGTACAACCAGCTTTGCCACGATATGATTGACATGATGTCTTTTATGGAGAGACAATAAAAAGTTTTCATGCTAGTAACTTTAACAAAGAAGTGACATTTGAATAGAGTTGCTGACGCCTTTAATCACTGCATT